ACCCCCTTAACCTAGGTGTATCCTATATACGGTGGTACCGAAGCGCCAAGTTCAGCGATTCGACACCTACGAGGATAAGCCACAAGGTCACACGCCAACTCGACTTTCGGATTATTTCTGGTGTTAACATCCTAGAAGTTGACCCCCAAGTCTGGGTCTCACTATACGCCCCCTTTGTCGGCAGAGTGTTCACCGCGCTTCGCCACACTAGTGTCTCGAGCGGTTCGTTTGGTTTTCTTGGTAGAATCGCTTGTGGTTTCCTGCTTGTCCATAATACACATATTTAGTTCCTCGTCGACATTCTGGATCACTCCGTCTGTGTGTGTGTCTCTACTTGAGCCACTTCGTCTGTGTGCCTTGCCAATTGGGACATTTCAGCTGAGTCGTTGGTTGAGAAAGTCAGATCAGTGCTGGGGTATGTTCCACGTGTGTTGCCCACTTGATCCCTAGCGATGGCAGAGTCACCGTTGTTGCATTGGACGGCGCCGGGACTTTCCTGGTGATGACAAATGCAACCCCATCTATTCTCGCCTTGTCAAAACGCTAAAGGGCTGCCATCATTTTGGTGAAGGCAAGGGTCCCATTGTGGCTCATTTTATCAGCAATCCGCGTGGCTACATCATACAAAGTCCGGAATTTAGCTGTGCCGTTGAGCAATCTGTGTCTGAAAAGCCAACAGCGTCGACTCACGCACCCGGAAAGAGTGGCATATGCGGTCATCTTCGATAGTTTCGTCGTCTGGAACTGGGACCTTCGAAGGGAAAGTCAGACTGCACCGCGAGCGGAAGTACTTCATCGGAATGGGTCTTGCTGGCGAGCAGACGCCAGTAATCAACATACCGACATGGCAAGAGCTCCATACGCATTAAGGCTCATGCAGATCGACAGGTCTGTACAATAACAACACAGATTATGTCGAAGTAGTCATAAAATGCATTAATCTAATTAAGTGGACAACGTACCTTTGTATCAAGATGATAAATGACCGGTGTTTCAGTAGGCTCAATTCTGATTGGTTGCAGTTCCCGAATATTGTGCGTGGTATTGCGGTCCTTTGTGGCACAGTACTGTTTTTCAAGCAGTTCATACGCGTGTTAGCTGACTTATTTTGCCAGTGGCTACAACGCAGCGTCGCCTCCTTGGTATCGCATGAATCCAACATCCGTTATCTGGTTTTTCATATTCCATTTTAGCAATAAATCGACGAAACAACAGCGTATCGACACATTCGTCAAGTGTCATCGTACGCTTAATAACTTCCTTTAAATGTCCCCACGCCGCCTCTTCCCTAACCCATACCAGTAAATGCTTAAGAAATACACCAATTCTTCAGTGACAAAAGAAATAGCGAGCATGTTTCTCGCTCTATTCAGCATACTATTGAAGAGAAGGGTATTTTGTGAGCCGGGCCCCGGGAAGTATGCTTCTGTATACAATATGGACCAAACGGCTGTATACATTGATATGAACAGCAGAACTACAATTGAGTTTGTCGGCGCAGTGGATGTTTTACAAGGTATCATACGATTTTTTTAAAGGATATTTATCAACTCTAATATTTTTCTATTGTTTTAGGGAGTGACGTCAATGGGTTGCGAGCCTCCGTTTTCTAGCGGCATCAGCGACCGGTCAGAAGCTTCCAGCCTTCGTCGTATATGCTGGGTCCCTGGTGCACGTGTGGAGGCTGAGGTATGGGACCCCAGCTTTGGTTCAACTGACGTTGAGCACGCTGTGCAACAGAAGGCGTTCTGTGATGAAGGCGTAATGTTGGAGTGGATCGCAAGAGTACGAATCATTTATTTTCTTGGAAAATTTTAACTTGTTATTTTACTTTTTGATGCAGATGTGGAAACCCTCCATAACCGGGTGCAGGCTACTTCTGTTGGACAGTCTGAAGACGCATAAGATGGCGTCGGTGGGTAACGTGCTGCAAGAGGAGTGCTGTAGCCAAATAGAGTTTGTTTCGCCCGGTATTACAGGAGTTTGCCAGCCCATGGATGTAGCTGTTATGAGAGCGGTCAAGGATCGAGTGAGGTACGAACACCTGTAATACGTGTCAATTCTATTCTAACGAGTTACTGCTGCTTATTTAGGTCTTTACATCTTCACCACCACATTGAAAATGGGTTCCCTAGCACGCCTACAGAAAAGAGGCAAGGATCTCATATATAGTGTCAGGGGCGGGGGACTCGATCCCTCAAGAGTTGATTGTCCGTGGTTTTGTGAAAGCTGGTATTATTCCAGTCGGACCGCGTGATGCGA